ATAGTAACAGTACCAACATGGTGTTGTGAGATCTTGTGAAGGTGGAAAAACATTAACTTTCGGTTTATGAATATTTTGTGGAAATCATGAAATTGCCACCATGCAAAATAATTTTGGGTAATGAGATATGAAATTTGTAAGGAGTATGTTCTAAACATGTCTACACATTTTACATGTGGGATACAGTATTTGTGCTGTGACTTGTTATGCTGTTGCAAGTGAGCAATTATAAAACCTTATGGTTGCTTGAATTGAATTTGAATGAATGATTCATTTTTATCATCTGAATGATTTGTCTTTGAAGAGATAGCTTCAGATGAAAAGTGCTAATTATGCAGGGAGGCAAAATTACAGGAGGGTAAGAATTCTAAAGCTGTGAATTTTTTATTCTTCATACCTTAGAATGTAATCCACAAGTTGTGAGTGCTTTCAAATACACCCTTGGACACAGAAGTTTAGGGATACCATGTTTTAGGTTATCCAATATACGTATGTCAAGCTTTTGTTGCACAGAGATCATGCAAAATTTTCATCCAGGATATAGTAATATTGTTTTTTTTTACATATTCTTTGATGGAAGCCACATACTGCCAATGCTATTATTACATGTCAGATTTGAACCACTCCCTGTTATCATTGCTCTTGCCCCAGATTTCTCTCTCTTTTACTTTTCTTTCTTCTGTTACTTCTTTGTACACTGTCATTCTCAGGAGTAGCATATTTAGCCTTAGTTCTTCCAGTAGATAGGGTTCCCTGGTCAGAGTGTAGACTAATTTGTCAAGTGGTGAACTTTGTAAGCCTTGTTATTTTCTTCAAGTTTATTTTATTTATATAGGCTCATATATCGACCAAGAACAGAATGAAATTTAGGATTGTTGACACACATAACTACAAGCTCCAATGTGAAAACATCTGAACATTCCTATTATCTATAGACTCTCTTCCACAAGTGCCTTGTTTGAGATTTGATTGATCTGTTTATCTCCTGTTTATTATGGACAGTACACAGTAAACCTATGTTTCTCTTTTAAGTCTTTATAGTAGAATATGAACTGGTATGCAGACTACACCTGATGTACTCCATGAGAGTATCTTTATTCAGACAGGTTGAGGAACATACAAATTAGAAAGTAATATAGGAAGTGTGAGCCTTACACATAGTTTGGACACTTCATAGCAAACTTACCTTACAGTCAGAATCATAGTGACTGCTTTGGGGGGAGAAAAGAATCAGTTTAATTAAACTAGATTGAAACTATTACACGAAAAATACCTCACTGGAAAACAGCTACAGTGAAACTATTAACACAATGAAGAGTTTCAAGTAATGTTGATAAAATTGTGTTGCAGACTATGATAGAATTAACAAAAGAATCAAGACTGCTATTAGGAGTAAAAGTCTGTGGTCTGCTGATGCCTGTAGATGAAAAGTGGGAGAAGAAGAACACAAGTTGAGGGAGGTAGTTGCTAGGGAGATCAGTGGAGGAAAATCTGTGTTCATTCTTTATTGACTTTGCTATAGCACCACTATAAAAACTCATTCTTCCTGATGTGTCAAGTCCTGGCAAAGCAATATGGTTTTCACAATAGCCTCAGTATTTCTAAATACTGTAATTATATCTTATGCATCACTTCACATAATGCAAGTATTTTTCAAACATTTTTAAGAAGAATATACATTTGTTAGGCATGTTTGTGTGCTAAAATAATGCCTACTGATGTCACTGGCTAATATAAGTCTCCAGACAGCCTGAATTCATGAAGCGATGAATTATAGATTAGAACATTAGGAAATTAGGATCCTATCATTATGGTGCAGTGGAAATAAGTATGCAAAACTACAGAACATTTGTTATCTCTGAGTCTTCACTTAGCTATTTAAGAATTTATGTTTAAATGCTTTGTGCAAAAGCCACAAATTTCAATGCAGAGGTAATAATTTTGTGAAATAGACATAATTAATTAATGCTTTGGGAAAGGGGGATTAATTTTAAACTGAGTTTTGAAAATTGTTCTTCAGTTTTGTCATATTCACATCGTTTGAATATTTTCTACAGACACTTTTATTGTAAAAACTGAAAGCATGAGGGAGAGTCTGTAAATAGGTTACAAATGGAAGAAAACTGGCTGTAATGGGCATAATAGGTTTTCTGAGTGTATCACTAGGTAGCAGCACAGTCCAGCTTCATGACAGTCCATGTAGCAGATACATGTGCACATGTTCAGAGGCTGGTTTCAGTAGTCACAATGGCGACCGTGCTTGAGGAATATACTATTGAAGATCAGCGTTCAATGGGCTATTTTTATGAGCAAAAGAACTTCATGCAAAGGGTATTAATAAAGATATGTTTCCTGTTTATCGTGGGAAGTGTTTGTGGCATAAAGCGTTTCACAAGTGGGTGAAGAAATTCTCTCAAAGACTTTTGGAAGTCACATATGATGCCCAATCAAGTTGCCCTGTTGATATTGTGACAGAAGCAACTGTGCAGCAGGTGGAATTGTTAATTTTAGATGACAGGAGGATAACGATAGACAATGCAGAAACTGCACAAGGGTGTTCCTATGGCTTAGCATACAGCATAGTACATGATCATTTGAAGTTTTGGAAAGTGTGAGCATGGTGGAGTGTCCAGAGAACTGAAGGATCAAGAAAAAATTAAACGAATGGATCTGACCTTAACATCTCTTATGGTTCAAGTATGCAGATGGAGCAGATATGTTACTGGGGACGAATCATGGGTGCATCGCTACCAACCTGAATCAAAACGTGCTTCAATACAATGGAAACCTTCAAACAAAAATTTTAAGGTTACACCATCAGCTGGGACGCTCATGTTTACCATGTTTGTTTTGGGATTCTCAGGGATGACTGTTACCCAATTTTTAGAAGTGTGGTGGAAATATGAATTCTGCGTCCTACTCTGAAGTTTTGTTGAAGCTTCTATATGCAATTCGCAGAAATCTTCTGCTTTGTACTTTGATACAGGAAATTCATAGTATAACGTAATATTTGATTGTATTGGGTTATGGTCCACTGTAGGAAAGAGAAAAAGAAGAATATCTTTGGGTGATGGTGATAATCTGGAGTAACTGGAACCCTATAAGGGAACCGCTCTGTATGACCTGACCTTAAGGAGGGAGCAGTGGTAGCGCTTGGAGAATGAACAACATGATAAAGAAAAGAACAACTTGCAGGAAGACGTTGAAAGCACAGCGCCCGGAAAGGAAGAAAAGGTGGTAAACCGTTAGGCTACTTGAAATGAGCAGCCTTAAGAAGGGAGCAGTGTAACAGATTTGATCAATGTGTTGTCAGGCAACAGCTCTGTCAACACAGTCCAACATGGAACAATAGAGGAAGCTGTGTTTTCTGTAGATTCAACCAACGTGCCAATAGACTGGCTGGATGGTGACCATATGATATGTGTTTACTGCAGGTCTATGGCTGTTCCATGGCCATGTGATGAGAGCCATGACCTGTAAGATCAGAGTGAATTGGAGCTAGAAGTACAGAAGAATACAAGATGTCAGCCTTTAAAGAGTTCACATATGTTCTGAAGATTTCATGTGTGCTTTAGCACAGTGATATCGGGAGTGTGTGATTTAGTGAGACTTTTATAGCTCCTGTGTTATATATCTGCGAAGACTAATGGTGATAGACTGAAGAGAAGAATCTGAATGTCCATTTTTGTTCACTTATTATACCACATAATTATCAGCATTTAGCCACTGCACTGCCTTCATCAGAAGTTCTGTGTGCCTATACCAAATTAACTCATGATTCTTAGCACACTATGCTTCTCCGCTGCCTGTTTTCGTCTCCAACACTGAACTAAGACTCATTCACTCAAACTGTTCTGGTTACTTTTTTGGACATAGGCACAGCTACAAGTGATTCTAGATAATTCCCGGGAGACTTAGGCCATTATCATTAGCCAGCAGTATTTGAACATCCAAGAAGCAGGATCTCAAGCTTTCCTTCAAACAAGAGGCACACACAGATTGGTGTGCACCTCCCCCCCCCATTCTCTGCCAACGAAACAATATATTTTCTTAAACATATGTAAATAATTAGTTATCTGTTATAATTTTGTAACAAAGTTTCTGTAATCATTAAAAAATCAAGGTTCGGTTGCATTTATTTCATTATGTTTCTTCACTGCTGTCCTGTTTTGTTATGATGAGTTAGGATTCAAAGAGGCTCACATTTAAGAAACTTTGCTAATGTTCATTCTGATTGATGTAAAGAGCTGTGTTTCTTTGCAATTGAACCAATGTCAGTGCCTCTGAATATAATTGGGTAGCTTCTGAATTATATTCCTGGTATTTAGAGTTCTGATTTTGGGGGGCAGTGTCATATTGACAATTTATATTCATATGACAGCGAGAAGTACATTCTGTTTAGAAAAATGCCACACACACAAAATAAATTATGATATAAGAGATGATATATTGTGTGAAACAATAGAGAGGGAGAGAAAGAAAGAGACTATATTGCTGCTAGAAATGTAGAATTTGTCTCTGCTGGAAAGAATATTTTGAGGATTACCATACTCCTTTAAAAATCTGAGGAAATATGGATTTAATAAGTCACTTCTTGATGCTTTACGCAACATAATTTGAAATTTTAATTCAAAATATAATTTTCTTTGGATATATGGTCATTTACATGTTTGCTATTTAAATTTCCAGCAATTTGGCCTTTATCTACTTGATGCCTTCTTCCAGAAATAGGACCCACATTACATGTATTTAGGGGGTACTTCCAGAAATATACAATTCAAAGAGCATGACCCACAATTTTAAAGCATGCAGAATGCAATTTTCTTTTAGTTTCTAACATTTGTAACGGCATATGCAATAACACAGCCAAAATTTTATTGCAGTTAATTTAATAGCAAGTGTTTGTGAACTAAGGTGTTTAAAACTTTGAAGGAATACAATTTGTTGATTACATATTCTTATTTCTTACAATGCACTGGATTGCCATTATTTTCTTGCAGGTGTATCCACGAATATATGGACATGTACTCGGAAGTGCAGCAGCCGGACACATCAGAACTCATTAATTCACCATTTGGAGGGCGCTACTGTGGCCTAATCCCACCTCGGCGTCGCATCTCCCTCTATCGGGCCCTGGCACTTGGTTTTTATACTGACAAGAATGCCAGCCATCCTGAACTTTTTAGTGGAATATATGCTTTCATTAATGATTGTAAGTTATTATGTACAGATGTGAATGTCAATAGAAGTTTAATCATGAGTGATAACAAAACAATCATTTTCATTTTTTACAAAATATAAATGAATTTGTAATATCTGTAATTTTCTTATCACTAATATTTTACTGATGATACTGATTGTGTCTAGCTATATGAGTATAGGCTTCTGTGAGAGCAGAGTAATGGCACAATCGCTTGGACCACTATCCATGAACTATTATTCAAAGCGTGCAGAAAAGAAAACATACCTCATGATCATACTCATGGATTAGATTAGTCTCCTTAGACTTTCAAATTGTGTGAGTTCTGTTTAGAATTCATCTTTTACTTCCCTTTTGTATTTGAAGCTGAGATATTTTCCCCACTGTGTGAACAAGTACATTGCATTTTGATTCTAATCCTGTACTTAATATTTTGTAACTTATGGAAAATTAATAGTAGACTGTGATTACATATCTGAAAATATTCTGTTATTAAATATAGAATGGAAGTGTTGAAGTAAAATTGTGAGAAAACATACTTGTTTTCTAAAATTATGTCTGCAAAGACTGACACACATTTAAGAATTGTGTTAAATTCTATATTGGAAAATATAATTGCAAACTCAAAACATTCTCAAAAAATGTTCAGCAAATATCCCTTGCAAATTATTTTACTCCAGCTGCAAGAGTAATTGCTCGCCTGCTGCTCATTTCATGTAGACATTTTTTTCCTCATCTCTTCCACCCTTCATACAAACATTTCTTTCCTCACCTGCTGCACATGTCACACAGGTATTCTTTTGTTCATCTGCTGCATGTTATTATGGCCTTTCTTTGCTTGTCTGCTGCACACTTTTGCATGTGTTTCTTGAGTGAGTAGCAAATGTGAGAAGTCTTCTTTTTGTTAGGTGAGAACAGGATGTTTCTCTTTAAATTTTCTTCATCATCTCTCTGTCTTGAGATTTCTAATATTCCAAGAATGTGGCATATTGAAACTCACAATTTGTAACATATCCTGGGACTTCTCCTTCTTAATTTCATGCATGGTTACATTAGCTGACAGAAGAGATTATTTATTCATTAATTAACTTACAGATTGGGGGTGATTGAGAATAGGGTGCTGAGAAGAATATTTGGACCTAAGAGACACAAAATAACAGGAGGATGTAGAAAACTGCATGATGAGGAGCTTCACAATTTGTGCTCTTCACCATCGATTATAGGATGACCAAATCAAGGAGGATGAGATGGGCAGGCATGTATGGGAGGAATTAAAAATTCGTACAAAATTTTAGTTGAAAAACCTGAAAGAAGGATACCATTTGGGAGAACTAGACAGACAGGAGGGTAAGATTTAAATGGGAGCAGAAACATAAATTGTAATAATGTGGACTAGATTCAGGATAGGGTCTGTCATAACAAGGCAATTTGTTTCTCTGAAATGTGGTACCTACCCATGAGACTGCAACACAATATTGTAACCCACATGGCTAAATTTTAGTCTTCACCTCTGTGACAACATCAAATCTTGTATGGGATAACACACTGGGTGAGATCACCAGGAAGACTTATATGTAGGTGAGAGAATAATAGTATGATGCATCTTAGGGAAATGTGGTGGTGTGGTATGGACTGAATTCATCTAATTCAGGATAAGGACTAGTGGAGGGCTCTTGTGGAAATGGTGATGAACCTTTAGCTTCCAGAAAATATTGGGATGATCTTCAGTAGCTGAACACCTGGAAGCTTCTCAAGAAGGACTCAGCTCCATGGAGTTAGTTTAGTTAGTTATTGACTAATACTATAGTGATTATATTTCTGAACGATGTTAATTAATAGCTTTGACATACGAGGGTAAGTCAATAAGTAAGTTATAAATGGATATAGAACTTAAATAAGAGTACTGATTTGAAAAATGCTTTTATTTCTCAACATACTCTCCCTGTACATTGAGGCACTTGTCCCATCGTTTCACAAGCCCTTGAAAACCAGCAGCATACAACTCTTTAAGCTGCTGTTGGAACCAGGCATGTTCACACAGCATGGCCTACCTCATAATGCATAACAGGTTAGGTTTTTACAAAGTCTATGCACGATGAGTGCTGCGCATGCTGACCCCACAACACAAAATGCAAAGAATGGGTCTGGCATTACAGCATCTCAATCGCTACCATCATGAAGGACATGATATACTAGCATGAACTGTCACAGGTGATGAGTCTTTGGTTCACCATTACTAGCACATGACAAAGCATGCATCAATGCAGTGGAAACAGCCTGTTTCGCCTGCAAAAAATGTTTGAGGTGACACCATCCTCCAGGAAACTAATGCTCACAGTCTTCTGGGATCACGAAGGCATACTGCTCACCGCATTCCAGCCTCAAGGACAAACCGTAAACACCGACTCCTACTGTAACCTCATCAGGAAAATTCGTAAGGCAATTCAATGGAAGCATGCAACCTGTCATGCATTATGAGGTAGGTCATGCCGTGTGAACCCAGCTGGTTCCAACAGCAGCCCAAAGAAATTTATGTCGCTGGTTTTCAGGGGCTTGTGAAACGATGGGACAAGTGCCTCAATATACTGGGAGACTATGTTGAGAAATAAAAATATTTTTCAAATCAGAACTCTTTATTTGTTTAAGTTCTATATCCATTTGTAACTTACTTATTGACTTACCTACGTATTTATGTTTCTGCACTGTTGAATTCTGCAAGGGTAATTAAAAGTTCTTTTTGTGTCTTGCAGCCACTTATGAGATTGGTACCCCAGTGCCAAACACACCCTGCAGTTTCAAAGTCCATGCAGCCAACAAGAAGCAGGGTGTGATTGTTTCACCAACATACCCAGGAGCATATCCAAAGGATCTGAGCTGTAGTTACCAGTTCATGGGTCTCACAGGGCAGAGAATTCGGATAGAATTCCGAGACTTTGACCTTTTCTTTGGAGGACCCCAGTATGTATTTTGTTACATTACATTGCATTGCATTCCATGGATCCAAAGTTAGTCAGAATGAATGTAGGATGTGGAATATGTCATATAAATACAAAACATATGTACAGACCCAATGGAGTTCTCATACAAGAGAAACCAAGAATACACAGTGACTACACACAAGTATATTTAAAGATACATAAGTTATTTTCTAGACAATAGGTATTCACCAACAGAGTAGAATGAATGTGTATATAAGTATCATTTCAGTGCTTTTTAAATTGTGCCTTTTCATTCATAAAACCTTTGAGATCAGATTGCAGGTTATTAACAATGTTAATCCCAGCATAATATGGGCTTTTCTGAAAGCATGAGAGATTAGCAATTGGTTTATGAAGACAGTGTTTGTTTCTTGTCAATGTATTATTGGGTTAAAGATGTTCATACTTCCTGACCTTCAGAAGAGTTTTGTTTAGTTATATCTTATAATAATCTGTATTTTTAATTTAGGACTGATGAAAGAGGTTTTAACACTTTGTTGCACCTATAACAATAGAAGGTAGTAAAATCAAATGTTCCCTGCTTTATTCGACAGATTAAGTTGAAAAGAAAAAAAGGTATGTAAATTAACTAACTGGGTATTATCAAGAGAGAGTGAATTCAAATGGCCCAACAAAATGTTAAGTTCCTAATTGCCAAATGTATGAGGGTCATACTGAAAGTCATGAGCAACAATTTTTTGTAAAGTAACATACTTTATTATTGACAAACCAAATACACCACCTCAGTCTACAGACCTTTCTTTATTTTTCCACATAATCGCCACTTCTTTGTACACATTTCTCCCAGCATTCTGGGAGTTTGAAAATTCCCCTTCTGTAAAATTCCATTCCAGCTATCTGAAAACACTGACACACTGCATTCTGAATTGCCTCCCTTGTCTCAAAATGCTGTCCACGCAGCTGATCCTTCACAAATCTGAAAAGATGGTAGTCGGAGGGTGCCAGATCAGGGGTATAGGAGGGGTGTGGAAGAACTTCCCACCCCATCTTTGCAATTGCTTCCAATGTGAGGTGAGCGGCGTGGGGGGCGAGCGTTGTCATGCAGGATGATGTTTCGTCCCGGATATTTATCGCGCAATGCACGACGGAGCTTGTGCACCATTTGGACATAACGAGCAGCATTCATGGTTTGCCCAGGTTCCAGGAATTCGGCCAGAATAAACCTCTCAGCATCCCAGAAGACTGTGCCCATCACCTTCGCAGCTGATGGCACTGTCTTTACCTTCTTTTTGATGGAAAACGCAAATGGTGCCATTCCATACTCTGTCGTTTCGTTTCAGGCTTGAAATAGTGAAACCAGCTTTCGTCACCTGTCACAATACAGAACAAAAAATCATCGCCTTCGTGTCGATATCTCTGCAGCAGTTCTGAGGTGATGGCTTTTTCTGACCCTTGTGGTCTTCAGTCAATAACCGCGGGATCCAACAAGCACAAACTTTCCTATAGCCCAAGCTTCCAATCATCTCCTATACTGCACTGTACCCTATTCCAAGTTTTCGGGCTGTTGTGTCCACAGTCACACGCCTGTCATCTTCAATGATCTCATCCACTCTTTCCTTGTTGCGTTCAGTTGAGGCTGTTTGAGGACGACTGCTCCGAGGCTCATCTTTGATGCTGGTGTTCCAATCTTTAATGTGTTTCACCCATCTTTGAACACTGCTCGCACCCATGCACACACTTCCATAAGCACGCTGAAGTCTCTGGTGAATTTCTGCAGCAGGGATTTCCTCTTTCACAAGAAATTCGATGACAGCAAGCTGGCAAAACGACATATTGTTGTCGGCTTTGTTAGAAGTGATAATGGTCACGTGATGCAAGCTATTGACGTCACAAGACACTCAAGGTTAACACAACAGCAGGTTCCACCTACCACCATACTCTCTTTTGTCTACTGTTCCCAGGTTGCATGCAAAAAAAAAGTTACTCATGACTTTCGGTATGACCTACGTAAACTGAGTGGTTCAAAATACCCAGAAGAAAACCACACGTATCTTAACTTCAGAATTTTCTTGAGGCTTGATTAAGTGCTGTGTTTTATTACATATATTATTGATTGATTCCCCTTTGAATCAACAGACACATTTTGATGAAAATTAGTATGAACATACTGCCATTGGAGGTCACACTGGCACCATATTTTTAGTTTCTTGTATGTAATACTAATGTGGTGGACATACAAACATTTAAAATAGGTGTGGCCCTAAATCTCAGTCTTAAAATTTGATACAGTGATTAGTGCAACTTTGTTAACACCTCTTTTTATTTGATTATATTATGTACATCATGTAATTATTTACCTGCATTTTCTCTGTATAATGATGAAAGCTGTTAGAAAAAAGCTGGGTTTAGATATGTTTGGAACTTCTCCCTTGTAGTCACAAAATTATTGGGTTCCTGTATTCTAAGAACTAGAGAACACAATATTCTTAAAACTTCATCTGTTTCCATCCTCAGATGAAGGTGGAGGTGGAGGTGGAGGTGGAGGTGGAGGTGGAGGTGGAGGCAGCTACCCTGGCCTACTCTTTTGGGTTCCTTAGAAAGAGCTAACCTCAGTCACAGGACATCCAATGTCAGCATAATTGTAGCTGTATAAATACCTGAGACCACTCTTTGTCGAAGGGAGATAACAGGAAAGTGTGCAATAAAAATTGTGATAAAGCATTCAAAGACCTGAAACTAAACTAGAAAGGGAGGTAAAAATGTTATGCAATAATCCGAATCAGCATAAGAATTCCGTGAAAATCAGTGCATATAAATAATTGGAGAATTTTGTGAAACAATTTTGTGGCTACTGCTAGCGCCATCTGTGGAGTATAAACTGAACACTCGGAACTAAAACATTTTACAACCCCATGAAGAATCAGTCACATCATGAATATCTTCTCTGAGAGCTTCTAACCTCATTGTCGCTAAGTGGGGTCCAGATGGGAGAAATGTCGAAACTGGGTTGGCTCATCAGATTGGTTAAGAATGCCATATGGGCAGATTCCTTGCAATTCCTATGCCTGCTGTTACTTTTAATTTCCAAAATCCTAGCTTCATCTCAGCCTACCTTATTACCCTCTTCACAGGCATGTTGTGCTAATTTTGAATTTTCTAGAAGACCCTCTTTGAAACTGTGCTTATGTTCACAGAGCCACAGGACAAGAGGTCTGCATGTTTCGGCAGTGTAGTTTCTGCCTCATTCACAGGGAATGCTATATGTCTGTTGCAGATCTCTTTCTAGTCAGTCTCACTTAGTCTCATCCCACCACAGGAAACTTAAAAAAATATGTGTACCTGTATTTACGCTAACATGGGTTGCCTAGTGATTAAAGTTAACTCTTTCTAAGGGACTCAACAAAGTTGATGTCTTGTTCCCCCACCTGAGGATGGAAACAGATGCAGTTTCCAAAATGCTATAGTTTTTAAAATATTGAAAGATGGTCAAAGTCGAAAACCCCAGTAATTATGTGTGTTATTTATTTTTATTATTTTTATTTATTATTTTTATTATTTATTTAGAATCTATTTCTTAATTATAGACCTATTACTACAAGTATTATTAATGTTAATATTTTTTTTTTGAAGATTCATCATTCTGTTTCAGCTGTCCTTTTGACTATGTAAAAGTTTATGATGGACCAGACAATGAATCAGCAGTCATAGGTACTTACTGTGGCCAGCAACGCAATTTGGTGCTATACTCATCAGAATCCTCACTGCTTGTGACATTTGTTACAATTCCAAGAACTGCCAACACACAAAATCGTGGTTTTAAAGGAATATTTGAATTCAGTGAAAGTTTTGTCAAATTAGGTATGTTCCTTGTGAATTCTTTGCTATCATGATTTGGTCACTAATCTTATGGGCTAAGAGTGAAGGAAAGAAATATATATCTACAAAAGATGTATATTTTAACCTCAGAATGATAAGAATTTGTACAATTCATAAAAGTGCTTATTGCAGATACTCATACGATCTTGAAATTGTTGAAATTCTTAACTATAACTTTGTCTTACTAACTTCTAATCATGTTTTTTTTTACAATTTGACACCAAGGTTCAAATAATAATGCTTGTATGGGAATATTTATTCTTCCTTGAATTGATTATTATGGGGATATGAGAACAACAATAAATAATCCATCATTTTCATTGTTGTTAGCAATATTTGAACTGAAGAATTAAAGAATTTCTGAAGCTTACATAATGTCTTCTACTCACAACCAAATGCTAATTATGATCGGTCCTTCACAAGAGAAAGTCCCACCCACTCTTTTCTTCATGTCCACAAGCATGGATCACTTATATTCCACTCACAATTCCCAGCCACATGCTGGTCATAATTCACCTAATGTGCACATGTGAAGCTGCTCATTGTTAGATTCTGGAATGTGAACTTTCTCTTAGGAAAGGGTTGGGCAGAAAGGGTAGGCTAAGGGGACCTTTTATAAGCTGCTAGCCATAAATGACTTCAGACACAAGCCTGCAAGTATAGAGTGAAACCTTGATTTTACACTTTTTAAGGGACTACCTAAAATAACTGTAAAATCGAGGTAAGTGTAAAATCAGTGAAATGAGAATTATTTAACATAAAGAGAATTTGGTTTTTCTTTATACCATAACTTTGGAAGATCATTTAAAAAATACATGTTTGAACACTTAACTGCGTACATGTAGATTCAATTATGGTTCTTAGTTTATATTATGATGGTCTGTAAACTGCTGTTTCTATGCAGCATCAGTAAGATGAGATGGTGATTATAACTGATGGATGGAAATGATGGGAAGAAAGTGGTCACAGTCTGTTTCAAGGTACTATGCCAGTATTCCCTTGGATAGACTGGTGAATATGGTACATACCTAATTACACTGTTTCTCTAACAACCTAATGTGAGTCTTTTTTATTTTTTATTCAGCTCTCAGTCTGTATAACTAATTTTCAACTTTGTTGCTCATTACAGTTATTTTGTCCTCGGTATCAAACTGACACATGTGTTTTATGGTTCCTTCCAGTCCTATCACTGCATTCAAGAATGTTACTTTATGTTGTGCAACCTTCTATTCTTCTTCTGGTCCAATCAAACGTTGACCTAACATCTGGTTGACACTCTGGATTCCACAGACTTCAAGAGCGCTGTCACATGATGTGTAGTCCTCAAACTGCATTACAAGAGGCTGTAAATTGTGCCAATCATCCACTTCATCTTCACTGAGTTTCACTGCACTTTTGTAATTGTTGATGACATGATCATTTGGGAAACTACAGTTCACAGTGGGTGTTATTGATCTCCAGGCTTCTGTTATGAAGTACTGCTTTATCTATATAGCATCTTGGAGCAGTCCCCCATTTGTCATAGTTACAGTCTTCTGAATCAGATGCTCTCTGTAATGGCACTTCAATGAGTGGATGATTCTCAAACATAATGGCTGTAGCTGATTGCTAAAATTACCAGAGAGAAATACAGTATTGATATTGCTGAGAAATGTGGTGTTCTTTGGATGGACAGCTCATTGATCAATGAAAAGCAAGATTTTGCGATTTTTAGATGCGAGTTTTCTATCTACTTGTGTAAGGTGATCTTAAGATATTGTAGTGGTTATCCAAGGCTTTGTATTAGTTGCATATTTTGTAGGAAATCTCTGAAATTTTTTAAGCAACGTGGACTTTACACTTTCCAGTTTATATGACTGCCATCAACATTGCAGGCAAGGAGTAAAAGAACCCACTGTTTAGTTGTTTTGCTATGTTGTAGATTGAGAAAACTTATCTCATCAGCATTATATCTATCACAGAAGTCATAACATTCAGTTCCTTGCAATAGTTGGTAACTGTTCCAGCCTTCCACTGTTTCTGGATCAACACTCCTGCTCTCACCTGGTAGAGGTCTGTAAACAATATTACGTTTTCTCTCAACTCCATCTATTGGAAGACGAAAATTTGTCTTTCCCAAATGAGTGACAATGTCCAAGGCCCTCTCCTTGAGGAGGTTGCCATCTATGGAAGCATTACTCTTATATGTTTGCTTGAAACGTGCAGATAGTGCAGATTCAAGTTTTTTCAATGGTGAACACTTCAGTGATTTCCACTGCTTGGACAAAGGTCCATATTTGGCACACCTTCTTTCAGCTTCTTCTTGATTCTTCACAGTAGTGTTTAGTATGGACACTGAAAGTCTAAAATGAGACACCAGTTCAACATATGTGCCAATATGTGCATCAGCTTGAGCTGAAATATTTATTTTATCACTTATTACAAATGATTTCTGTTTTTCTTTATTATCTATATTTCATCCTCTTGCTATGAAATTTACCTTAATCGACAATAAAATTTTATCTCTACAAAATGATGTCAAATGGGAATTGGAAGGTTGAAGAATTTAATCTGTGTGCATTTCTGTTGAATGTTTCATTAATGAAAACCCATGTGACGTGTTTCAATGGTCGTTTTTTGGAAAACTTACCAGATGTGAGAGAGAAAAACTGCTCTTATTGAGTTACAGTTATACTAAGACACAACAAGATCAAAGCTGGCCTAACATGTGAGCTGCTTTGACCATAGCAGCGGAAATCTCCCCTTATGTGTGATAGGCCTTAGGACAGTCAGATGGTACATGCAATTCATTTGTATCTGTGCTTGCAGCAAATTTGTAGAACATATTTTTAGACCGAACCATTTATGACTGAACTACTCTAGTAAATTTTCATAGTCAGGACTACAAAAATGAAGTGAAAATTAGGGGGAAACATGAAATTGAGGACACACAGAATCCATTAAATTTTAACATTGCCATTATGGGCATTTGGCCGGAACCATGCAAAATATGTGTAAATTCTTGAAAATCATAAAATCTGGGATAGTGAAATCTAAGTTCCACTGTAGTCAGTGCAAAATATTACAAGATAGGTGTGGCGACTAATTAGGAATCATTCATTCTGAGCATGTGCCAGGAAAAAGCCTCTGTCTCATGAAAGGGTGCTCTGTATGTATAAAGTTAATAAACTGACGACTCCAATGGTTTATTTTACTATCATGAAGGTCTTTTTATAAACCTTACTTTGTCCATTGTGATATCGCTGTACATAATAATATTAATTGTAAATTATCTCAAGTCTCTGCAATGGGCAGTTTCCAGCCAGTAGACATACATGCTGTACATGTGCAACAGTTTCTCTATTATTCAGCATCCTTGTACTTTTAACATATGAAAGCAGATTATGTGATATTTGAGATTACACCCTTCTGAAATGTGATGTCATGTAGTTGGCATAAATGAGATTTGTGATTTTCACAGTGGTGAGTTTCAGGATTTTGTTTGAACTTCTGGGGTGTGACAAAGTACAAAGCATCACATACCAGAAGATGTACTCATAATATTCTTTTCTGTAAGAAACTGAAATGTCAAAACAATGTAACTCCATTTAACATTTCTAAGTTCAGAGTTTTCCATCCTTTAATGTTCAATTTCAGTGAATCCAAGTTAGTAATCTGTGTTAAATTCATTCAAGAATTTCCTGAGTTTAATATTCAAATTCCCTGCTCCACAAAAATACCTTACGAGTACATAAGGGTTTCACTCTACATGATATTCGTTTAAAAATTATCATCTAGGCTAGAAGAGGAGTCAGTTTTCAGACCTATGGGTACATGTTTAATGAATTCAATAATAGTAAAGTATGTGCACTGGATGAGTGAATACATATAATTTTTAGTAAAGTTTAAGGAAAGTTGTTGGGGTAGGGTATAATATAAGAAACAAATTTAGCCCTATGCAGAGAAATAAATATATTATATTTTCTTACAACAAGGTTCGTGTGTACTAGGTATCCAGTTACTTAAGTTTCTCTAATAAACTTGTATTTTTATTCACAGATTTCATTGTGAAAAATGATGGAGAGCATATCCGTGGTTCTGAATGTGATCAGAAGATCCTAAGTAAAAAAGAGTCAAGCGGTACAGTGTATAGCCCCAACTGGCCTTTTCCATACATACCAAAGATTGTGTGTCGTTATTTTGTATATGGCATGCAGGACTCACAGCATCTAGAACGTGTACGCCTTGTGTTTGGACTATTAGATATCTCTAAAGGGAATCCAAAAGAGGGAATAGAGTGAGTAAAATAAATTATATATAGTCTTCCTTTAGTGAAACAATTATACAAGGTGGGCCAGACTCAATTAGGCAGTTTTTGATCATTAATAACTAACCAATCCAACAACACACGGGATAATGGCAAGTACCTTTTGTTGTCGATAGATGGCAGCATCATACGGTATGCTGTGAACGCGGTCAATACTCTGCCTACTTAGTGCGCATCGAGGAAACGTCATGGCCGGTATGTGGTTGTCTATCAAGCAGCGTGTAAAATGTGTGCGCCTTTTCTCAGTTACTAACAATGTATCAGAAGTCCAGCGCAGGATGTTGGAAGAGTTTGGACCGCCAGCAGTCCACAGGGACACAATCGTCCGAGTAAACAAGCAGTTTGATGAAACTGCCAGTGCTTTGAATCCCAAGCATCCTGGTCAGCCAGGAACTGTCCGAACTGCTGACACACAAGCACGTGGCTGTGGAACTGGCATCATCTCAGAAATTGAAGTATTCCCACTGTTTGTTGGCCCTACTGGATATTTCGAGGACAAGTTTGCAGAGAGTTTTGAGTGACATGAAGCTGATGCCATACCATTCACGGCTTATTCATGTTCTTAATGAGGACGACTTCGACAGGCGACTTGAGTTCGCCGAGTTGATGCTGACCAAGTTTCAGGAGAACCCTGAACTTATCTGGAATATTGTCTGGACTGATGAGGCCAAATTTCACACATCAGGATCGGTCAACAATCACAACTGCATGTTTTAGCAGCCAGAGAACCCCAGTGCCACCATTGAATACGATTTCCAGTCCCCGGGAGTGATGGTGTGGGGCAGTGTGACGTACAAAGGACTGATTGGCCCGTTATTCCTTGAAGGTTGCATCAAGGGGGAAACCTACCTAAAGCTGCTGAGGGAAAGTGTCATCCCAGAACTTCAGAGGAGAGTGAACTTTGATGAACTGTGGTGGCTGCAAGATGGGGCCCCACCACACTTCGCCAATATTGTTCGGGCATTCTTGCATCAAGTTTTTCCTCAACGCTCAACCCTGTCATGACAATATAAAAAGACAAGGAACCATTTGCATATCAGTATATTTGATAAATATATTAATGCCCAAAGTACCTTAATTTTTCTAGTGCTGGAACCTGTTTTGGGTGATTGCAAATAAAAATGGAGAGGTTGCTGTGTGACAGTAACTTCTCAGTTTTTACTGTTACATTTAGCCTGATTAGAGTTTAAACTATCTTTTCTTTCTTTTCCTTATCACTTCAAAATATATTTTGTTTGTGCCTAAAAGCAGATTAACTTTAAAGAAGTATTTTATGACAAATATGCCAATGACATCAATGGTGAGTGGAAAAAATTAAATTTCTCATATTAAATTGTGGAGAAAAACAGAATAAAACTTACTTTGAAATATTTTTTAAACAATTGATATATGTTGATGATTTTAGGACTTACAAATGATTGAATTAGGGGTGATTTTCTTATGGGTCAACAAATAAACAGAAATGTTACAATAATTATAATGGACTTATTTTGAAAACTTGGATTTAAACTTTATATTTTTATACTGAATGAACAAATTCAAACACTATGCCAGTCGTCTAATGAGAAACTTTCTTATATTCCAGCTGTCCAGATGGTTACTTGAAAATATACTTGAAAGGCCAGGAGACAACAGATTCATATGATAAGTTTGACCATGAGATGTGTGGAGAAAAGAAGCAACCTTTTGTTGTTGTGTCAGATGGACCCCGCCTTGTCATGGTGTTCAGCAGTGGTGAGCTTCAGGGACGAGGTTTCAAGGCAAATTACACCTTTGAAACAGGTATATATGCTATACAGTAATTTCCTTAATTAGAAAAGTGTCCTTCATGTTAACAATATTTTAATTTAATTATGCACCAGTCTGCACTGCAGTGTAACATAGCTAACATAACCTTCAAGATATTTCCTCTCATAAGATATTTGGGAAATTTCACTTCAGTGAGGGAATTATCTTTACTGTACCTACTGACCTGATGTGAGAGGAACCATGTTTATATCCTATACCAGAGGACAAAGAAAACATTTCAGGCTGAAGAGCTTCAGTGTCGTTTGTTTTCATTGCTATTGTGATCAAGTTCATGGCTCATGTAAGTTCTGTTCACATAGTAATACAGCTGTATACAAATCAGGGGTTGCAGTAGGCATGTTTAGCCTGTCTTTCCATGACATACAAGGAATAAGGGAATGCAAAACATGGTGCTTCTTGCTGCAGGGTTGCCAGTTTTGAGCTGAAGAATATCATTATATTTTAAGCAGATATACCTAATATTATATTCAAATCTAGGACCAAACTGAATGGTTAATATATTTTATGTTATAATAATTTTAATGAGCTAACATAAGGATTCCATACCAGGTCAAAAAGAAATAGTGAATTGGAGATGAGAAGTTCTACAACTTACATGTTGTCTGAAATTCATTGGACAGGAATAGGTGTTGGTCTGCTTGACACTAATGTTTCTTCCCCTCATATCCAGAGTTATTTAATGCGAATATTGTCAAATGGAATTTCCCAAACATTTTAATTCTATATGCTCCTTTTGTGCTCCTTATATAAAGAATGTTGAATACACACACACTTACACTTATACTAATGTAATGTCCATTCTATGTAAAGTCTCCACATTTGTTATATAAACCATGTTGTTATTGTTTGTATTGCTTCATGGTACTTATGCATAGAACATACTTATATGTATGAACAGTTTTTCTGCCTCAGTGCAATGTGCTGACTTTCATTGTTTCCCATCAGCATAATGAGGTCTTAGAACAAACAGTTAACAGTGTCTGCCATTCACAGTTGACACTTTCTTAATTTTCCAGCACAAAGTAAAAATATCAATCAATAAAGTAAGAAATGTGGACCTTTATGGATGAAATACGGTTTAATTTTAACAATAATATTCAAATGCAAATGCAAAGGTAAGACCACAGTAATGCTTGCATAGAAAGAGAGGTCATGAATGTTCAGTGTTTGTGCTGGTTTAGTTTTCATGGGAAAAAACAGTACACAGAGCAGATTTGAGGTAATCGCAGTGGTGACTGTGAAGAGAATGATATTTTGGGTTGTAACATGGTGGAGTTTTGTAGAAGTCTATCGATATTTTGGAGGAATTCTATATCATTGGTTCTGTTTCCAACTGTTCAGGAGTTACAGATGTAGATTATAAAGGTTTCTGACAATGGTGTATGAGACTCAGGATTACTGAGTTCTTGAACTTCATCCGTCATACAGTACTCTAAGGAACTTAAGAACACAATGTATCAGAAACATATCCATTTTCCAAAACATGTTCTTTAGTACTCTATAGAGTAAAGGGCGATGGACAAAGTTCAAAAACCGAGTAATCCTGAGCTACATATGTTTTAAGTGCATACAGAAGAAAATAAATTTGAATATGAATCAGATAAACTGAAATATTTTATGAAATACACCTTGAAACATTTGTGGAGTCAGGGGAGATGGAATTCACTTGGTTTTCTAGCCACTATTTGGTCTATTGTATCAACCCCAGTTGATAAATGAGTATGTAGCAATTAGTGAAATTAAATTTATCAGAGGAAACTAAAGTATTTGCAGAAATCCAACCCCAGTGCCACTTTGTCTGCCATGAATCTCACATGACCTGACCTGGGATTGAAGTTGAGTGGATGTGGCATGAAGCCAGTGATTAACTGCATGAGCTATGGCAAGGCTATGATGCACTTTACTTTAAATGTTCAAAATGTCTGCCACTGTTTCTGCCTTGCTTAGTTCAAATGAGGGTTTATGACCCATGCACCATTTCAGGGTGTTCAAATATGTAAACAGAAATACTAGTGATTTAACACGACCAATCTTCATTGGTTGCATCCTGTTGTGTGTTTCAGATATATATATACATAGGTCGTACCAAAAGTCATGAGCAACTTTTTTTTGCATGCAACCTGGGAATAGCAGATGAAAGAGAGCATGGTGATAGGTGGAACCAGCTGTTATGTTAACCTTGAGTGTCTTGTGACATCAATAGCTTGCATCACATGACCAGTATCACTCCTAACAAAATGGCTGACAACGATATGTCGTTTCGCCAGTGTGCTGTCATCGAATTTCTTGTGAAAGAGGAAATCCCTGCTGCAGAAATTCACCAGAGACTTCAGCGTGCTTATGGAAGTGTGTGTGTGGATGCGAGCAGTGTTCAAAGATGGTTGAAACGTTTTAAAGATGGGAACACCGGCATCGAAGATGAGCCTTGGAGCAGTAGTCCTCGAGTAGCCTCAACTGAATGCAACAAGGAAAGAGCGGATGAGATCATTCAAGATGACAGGCATGTGACTGTGGACACAATAGCCTGAAAAATTGGAATAGGGCACAGTGCAGTACAGGAGATGATTGAAAGCTTGGGCTGTAGGAAAGTTTGTGCTCATTGGGTCCTGCAGTTATTGACCGAAGACCACAAAGGTCAGTGAAAAGCCATCACCTCAGAACTGCTATAGAGATATCGACATGAAGGAGATGATATTTTGCTCTGTATTGTGACAGGTGATGAAAGGTGGTTTCACTATTTCAAGCCTGAAACGAAACGGCAGAATATGGAATGGCACCATTTGCATTCTCCATCAAAAAGAAGACAAAGACAGTACCATCAGCTCTGAAGGTGATGGGCACAGTCTTCTGGGATGCAGAGGGGTTTACTCTGGCCAAATTCCTGGAACCTGGGCAAACCATGAATGCTGCTCGTTATGTCCAGATGATGCACAAGCTTCGTCGTGCATTGCGCGATTAACGTCCGGGACGAAACATCATCATCCTGCATGACAACGCTCGCCCTCACGCCGCTCGCCTCACATTGGAAGCAATTGCAAAGATGGGGTGGGAAGTTCTTCCACACCCCTCCTATACCCCTGATCTGGCACCCTGCGACTACCATCTTTTCAGATTTGTGACAGATCAGCTGCATGGACAACGTTTTGAGACAAGGGAGGCAATTCAGAAAGCAGTGTGTCAGTGTCTTCGGATGGTTGGAATGGAATTTTACAGAAGGGGAATTTTCAAGCTCCCAGAATGCTGGGAGAAATGTGTACAAAAAAAATGGCGATTATGTGGAAAAATAAAGAAAGGTCTGTAGATTGAGGTGGTGTGTTTGGTTTGTCAATAATGAAGTATGTTACTTTACAAAAAATTGTTGCTCATGACTTTCAGTACGACCCTCATGTGTGTGTGTGTGTATATATATACATGTCAACGTCATCATCATCAGTAATCTGTCAAGACGACAGGTCCACAGTCTCTTCCAAAACAATTCCTCCACTTAATGCGATCTTGAGCTTTCTCCTTCAAATGACAGTATCCTCTTCTGTCCCCAAAATTATCCAGCATCTTCTTACGTCTTCTTCCTCGTCTTCTTGTCACTTCTATCCGCCCATCTATCTTTCCTTTGATAACTTCTTTTAGAAGGCAGTTTCTACGTAAAACATGACCAATCCAATTAGCCTTCCGTTTTCTTATTTCATGTAGGATATTCCTCTGCTCACTGACTGTAATTAACACTTCTTCATTTCTCACATAATCGGTCCAACTGATCTTCTCCATCCTTCTCCAACACCACATTTCGAAACTTTCCAGATGTTTCTGATCTACTGCCCTAAGTGTCCATGTTTCAGCCCCATACAGAGCTATGCTCCAAATGTAGCATTTCACTAGTTTCTTCCTCAAATTTAAGTCCAATTTGCTGGTAAAAAGATTCTTCTTCTTGCTAAATGCAGCTTTTGCCATGGCAATCCTGGATTTAATTTCACAAGTACACCTTCCATCATCTGTTAACAAGCTACCCAAATATTTAAAACATTTCACATTCTCCACTTGTTTTTGGTCTATCTTTATTGTGACTGGGGTTGGTTGTCTCGAAATTTTCATTACTTTTGTTTTTTCCACATTCATTTCCATGCCATAGCACCTTCCAATTTCAATTAGTCTATCAATCATGCCCTGTAGCACAGTTTCTTCCTTAGCCATTACCACAAGGTCATCTGCATATTTCACAGTTTGAATAATTTGCCCTCCTACTTTGAAGTCTCCCTCCTGTCTCCCCTCTGTCCAGTCATACTCTACTTTCTGATCCATGTACAATTTGCTAATCAATCTTCTTTCACGCCAATCGATACCTGTTTCTTTTAGTATCTGCATTAATTTGGTCCAGTTTACACGGTCAAATGCCTTCTGCCAGTCTATGAAGCAAACACACAGTTCTTCATCAATCTGCAAAGTTCGTTCCGCTATAATTCTCATCATCCCAATTGCATCCCTGGTTCCTTTTCCTCTTCTAAATCCAAACTGATCTTCTCCACATACATCCTCTATTTTCCTTTCAATTCTTCTTTTAAGTATCTTTGCTATTATCTTTGCTGTGTGTCCAATAAGGCTTGTTGTGCGATGGTTGCTGCATTTTGTAGCTTTTGTCTTTTTCTTTAAGGCAATCATTGTAACTTCTGTAAAGTCCTTGGGCCACTCTCCACTTTCATATATGGTGTTCATTAGTAATGTGTTGAATATATGTTAAAAAATATTAAAAGTATAAAATGTTCAAAAAATATTAAAGGTTTTCTGATGGTAGGCTAAGAATTTGTGTGCCAACTTAAATATTTAAGTTTCACTGCTACAGTGTAGAAAAATTGGGCATATATGTTGTTGTAGGTCTTTGCTGTAGAAGCTTTCTACATAGTAAGCTCAGTTATGAAAGAAAAGTTTCTATGATGTACAGGTTGTTAGTGTGCAGATATTGATATGCTATTCCCACGATATGTATCTTTATATAATAGTACATATAGCGTATGTGTTTCTTGTCTGGGCGTGTTTACATTCAGTGTGTTCTACACTGTGCAGTGGTTTTATGTAGAACAAACAGATATCTATGCATCTGGCAGGATTCAAACCCATGGCTATTCATTGGTCTTCTTTGTTATGGACTCTGTGTTTCTTTCCAGCTATTTCTTCTGCAGTTCATACGAAAATCTGGATTTGCCTCAGATAAACTCTATAAAAGTTAGGGGTTACATTTATGCAAAAATATTCAACACTTTCTCACAACGTCAATGTACATACTAACAAGTTGTCTATTTTGTATCAGAGTATCGTATTCCTGGCACTGCTGCACCTGACGGCACCTGCAATTTCACTTACCGGAGTGGAAGTAGAAAGAAAGGGGAATTTAATTCACCGCGTTATCCCTCCAACTACCCCAGTGAAACCAACTGTACATACCTCTTTGTGCCAACACCTAATGAGCAGGTCACAGTTGTGTTCGACCATTTCAGGGTCCGAGCAGATAGTGCAAATAGCACAAATGGTTCGTATGGGTGAGTATTGCAGTTGAGTTTCTTTTGTTTAATATACTACTTAAAATGTCATATGACATATTAGGTATTTATATATGGTCAGTCATTGTTAATATTATGTAAAAATATATAATACACAGTATATATTTTACTTTAAACATAGTACAAATATCAACTGTGCTAACTTGCGAAGTTACTTGCATTTTAACATTCTGAAAAGAAATATTAAGTTAGGGAAGCTACCATCTGAAGTTCATAAGCTTGTTTCAACAACAACAACAACAACAACAACAACAAATTTACACACACTTTAAGTTTGTGCCACAGGTTTATTCAGCACTTTAGAATATCATTATTCCTTTGGCTGTTTCATTGATCACTCTATGTCCTGTAATTAGCATTTGCTGGAGCCTTCAGATGTACCATGCATGATCTATGCGTGGTGTTAAATGATTGTGTACATGAGCATCAACTCTTAGCTGTGTGATCAATATAATAAAGTAATTTAAAGAGGACATTCTGTACTCTTTTTGTCATAGGTCAGTCCTGTAGAAAAAATTATTTCTTTTATTATAAAAGTGAAACAGAGATGCTTCTTCAAATTCTGATCTTAACAGTAATACAGTTCATTTAAGTGCCAGGCTTGAGGGGTTATAAAATATTGGTACCTGTACAATGGAGACAGTTAATGTAAAAATGGGGAAATTAAAAATGAGTGGAACAAATTCCATACAGGAAACTACTTTGTTTAATATTCACTTTTAGACAAAGAACTGTAAGTCATGTTAACGTAATGTGTTGCCTCATTTAATGTGAAACCCTCATATGTGGTGAAATTTCCACTTTAGGTTTCATTTGGTTCAGTGGATTTAAACATTAAATTCAGGAGGATCTTAGTGGATGAAATTTAACACTCAGATTATGAAACTGGGACCATTAAAATTAGACATTAAATGGGAGAAAACCTTAAATCAATGAACATTAAATGGGAGCCCCACTGCAATCATATACAATGCAAAAATTAACTGTTTGTAAAAAAGTCACTTGTGATATGCTTAAAACTCAGGCACTATCATTCATCTATTCAAGCAGTTATGTCAGTGTGTATTAAAAACGTATTTTTAGTACATTAGTTGGTTTAAAGTTGGTAACATCTGTATGGTGGTTTGCTTTTCTCATTTTCATTTTTTTAAACACCAGCATGGTTCAAATATTGTTTTTCTGGACATTATCCATCTTCCTGTTTTAGGCAAAAACAAAACAATGGATAATGTCCAGAAACATATTTATAATTGCTTAGCTTGTTAAGTGCCAGTACCTGAGGATGACAAAGGCAACTTTTTCAAAAGAAGCTTTTATGTAATAATTTTAATTGATATATGTTTTGTTATACTCATACAATTTTAACATGAAGTTGAAAAAAACATTTGTTACATAATATCAAAAGTAATATTTCCTTGTTTATTGCACATCTGTTGAAATATTTCTGGGAATATGAAATGTAATTAAGATATTGTCAGGCGACTATAGATGGGGTTTGAGTTGGTAATCAGATTTGTTTAACTCTTACAGATCGGTGGTTAGAAGTAATTATACCTGTTCCACTGACTCACATATTTTTCAGTACACTAGAGCACATACTTAAATCTTCTCAGCCTGCTGTATCTTCACCAGTCTTCTGGTGTCACATACCAGTGGTGGATATTCCCCTTCCACTGGATTCCAAAAGTGTCTCCAGCTTCAGCTACCAGTTTCTCACAGCAACAGCTTACAACAGCTGAATAACAGCAGTCCTCTAACTAACTAACTAACTAACTAACTAACTCACCCACCAACTAACTCTTCATTAACTCTCCCTCCACCAACTTCACTATTCGTCCTGTTTATAACTTCTTGACAGGAATGTTGTTTATGGGCCATTGCATAGTTATGGCCTTTATCTAGTTGTCTGTTTCATGGTCCTTGCCCAGCAATGGGTCTACATGCCAGAATATCATAGAGTTCTTATGAACCATGTAATGTAACCCACTGTACTCAGTTTACTTCCCTCTAGTACTTATATAATTTTATGAACATTTATGATAAACCTACACTTATTGTAATGGAAAATCTAGAGTTAAGTTCTACAGAGTCTTTTTAGCCTGTACAAATAAAGTTTACCTGACTGTGAAAAATATACAAATGGTAGCTCAAAATGCTGTATGCAATAAACAGGCAAGCAAAGAGATCATCATCTGCATTGTCTCTGCCACTATTTATTTTGTATGGCTATCACTACACACATAGACTTGAAAGGATTCTGATGTTGGTGTATGCTGTACAGAACTATTAAGCTTATTTTGGACTCTATCCATCATCTGGTATATGTAAGACAAAAAACCACAACGTTTCAGAGACTGGATCTGTCTCCGTCCTCAGGTGGATGGGGCAGGATAGACCTACTCAGTTGGGCTCGTTAGAAAGAGCTAGTCTCAATCAATGGTTATCTTATATATACCAGACGATGAATAGAGTCCAAAATAAGCCTAATAGTTCTGTATCACTACACATGCCAAATGACTCACTGATATGTATGATTTCTCTTCATGTTTCTGCTATTGTAAAATCATTCAGAAGTCTGTTTCACCTTCTTATTTACAGCACTGAATTGAGGTAGTGAAATATGCACTTCAAGAGCATATTTTTCTGCATGACGCTTGCATGAAAAATAAGTCATATAAATCATGCAAAAGAAAGTATTGCTGCAAGTATCATGGTAGTCGAGTTCTGCCTTCATCAATTATATTTTGAGTTGATGAGGGAAGTATGTTCAACTTGAGCTTTCTTAGACAATACACTAGACTGTCTGCTGTTGTGATGAAAAGTTTGATGAAATTCGAGCCAGATGAAAACAATTTCCTTGCAAAGTCCCTGACTACTAGCTCAGTATACACATGTTGTGACCACAGCAGTTTGGAGAGTGACTAGCAAATTATATCTATGGCCATATTAAATTAGGCTGATTCAAGTAATTAAAGAAAGTTTTATGAAAGATGAATGGATTTTTGTAACTGGTTTTACTGGCAATAGTGACATTGTTCTTGAACCAAAACTTACGTTTATTACTGTTGAAGCTTGTTTCCATCTGAATGGGTATAATAACACTCAGAATAATAAGTGTTAAAGCATTGTAAATCTGAGACAGACTTTTGAAATACTCCTTCATAATCATAAATTTGATATGTAATGTGCTGTTACTGCTATACCAGGAAATGACTAGTGAAGACACAGCAAACTGAGAAGGCTTAGTACGTGATTTAGTGAACTGCAGAGTGTGTGTGAATTGATGATAGCATTATAGTTTCTTGGAGCTGCGGTCTGTAAGTGTTCAATAAATCCAGTTGCCAATCCAAAACCCATCTATATGCTAACCATCATGCTTTTCTTAGCATTATGAAAAGGTATTATCTACTTTTTTCTCAAATTCAGCTTCTTAATTTTGTAACAGGGTTTCAATATGTCAGGAGGACTGGCTTGAAATGTACAATACATACAAGGATGGTACAGAAAAGCTGGTTGGCCGGTACTGTGGTATGACAGCTCCAGGTCCCATTGAATCAAATCGAGGAGCATCTGGTGTGAAAATCATTTTGCACTCAGATCAGGAAGGCGTGTTTAGTGGCTTTAAGGCCCATTATACATTTGAGAGTGTGAAGTCCATATTCGGAGGTAATAATTTGTTATCTCTGTATGTGTGTGGATATACTCGTAGATACACATCAGCCATAAATGCATTATCCCTTGCCACATTTTTCAAGTTCTGCCTGAAATTTTATTGACTAATGGGTGAATGTGTCATGTGTAAATAATCATAATAATTTAAATCTTAAGCATTTCCTTTTATCTGAGTGAAGTAAAACACACTCACTCTACTGAATATAGAGGTAGCCTGTGCATTCTTAGATCAATGTTCTAGATGTAAGCAAGTGGTTAGACTCCTGTTCCATCCACCTGTATTATTTGCACTATACATTGGGGGCTGTGGTTGCATATTTTTCTTTCCTTGGCACTACAGCCCCCGTGGGCCTAGGCCTACCTCCATGAACTTCTCCGTTCACGTGGTTGCATATTAGTAAAGAAAAATCTCAATATATTTCCCCCAAAATGTGCATGTGAATACTATTTCCACTCTAACATGCTAGGAACACATCAGTTAATTCCAAGAGTCATGTAATTCCTGTTAAACCTGACATATCATTTAGATTTGTTTGCTGGGTTGAATGTGAAAGGAAGTTTGGCAGGAGTAGTAGTACCTATAATTTTGTTTGTTAAAAGCAAATACGCTGCTAGGAAGGAGGGACTCACTCACAGCCCCTTATTGGCTAATTCACTTGCCTCTATAATCCCTACTCACTGTATGTGGACTTGACCAAATTTATAAGTCATTCAGTATACAGTTACAGTATCAAGAAATAGGCAAGTAATAATAGAACACTACAGAATTTTTCCAGAACCGTGTGATATGTTCCCTTTAGAGATTCCTCCCCCACACTTTTTAAATTAATTTCTCTTTTGACCATATGCTCAGTGGATCTTCTATACATTTTTCTTGAAAGTATAGGGTCCTTGTCACGTTGAACCCAGGAACTGTATTTGATGTTTTAAATGTTGCTGTTTTATTTGTAATTTTTTTTAATTCCCTATAAATTATTTGGTGTTGAAGTTTTGGGTATATGTGTGTATGTAATGAATTTCGTTATGTATTTTATCCATCATCACTGCTGTCTAACGTGACTTTCCCTGCAGATAACAGACTCATTGAACATGTGCACATTTTTTTCAAACACTTCACCCTTGATAAATGCCTTTTGGAATTTTCCGCTTTTCATTGTGGCAACATGAAGTTCATCATCTGAAAAGACTGGTGACCTCCCAGCTCTCTTTTCAGCCTTGAGAACAAATGTGAATTGCATGCCAGATCAGCAAAATAGGGAGTGTGGTGTAACATTTATACCATTAATATTTTCTTTGTTTTACAATGATCTTCTTGGTTAAGATGACTGTATATCATCTGCCACAGACTGACATCCCTCCTTGAATCATTCATGTATGTTTAAATTGCCTTTTTTTTAGTGATTATCTCCATAAATCTCATCGATTCTTTTAAGTAGGAGCACTGTTTGAACATCTTATAATGCACTAAAAATTGTGAGTAATATCAGCATTGTTCTGGAAGTCTTCTATTTCCACAGTCACAATGCAAAAAGTAAAAAAATCACAACACCCAATTGAGTAAGCATGACAGCCTTGTTCATATGTAAACAAGGTCCTAGTAGATTCTGAAAGTCCAAAAACCAAGTAACTCCAAATTTCACCAGCAATTCAATGAAGTAACCTGTATGGAACTTTGACAGTAGATAAACAAATGTCATGTGAACATCCTTGGTGCTTGAAGTTCGATTTCCTTTATGTATATGTAAAAATCTACTGGGTGTCATAGATTTGTAATTATTGGCATAGAAGATGATCACAGTTAACTTTTGATTCAAGAAACAAAATGTTATATAAACAAATAAAGAGCATGTTTATTAGGCTGTAAGAACATCCTTAATTATTTAAGATTTACAGAGTTTACTTGTCACTATTCTGAGCTTGAGCAGTACTCGTGTATTAGCAGTTTGGAAACAATTCCATGTCAAGAAATTGTTGAATCTGCAACTGTTCAGCTATTTTTCTTCACAGACTGTGGAAGCAACGTTAGTAGTGCAGAGTCCGGGGTTATATCCAGCCCAAATTTTCCCCAAAATTATGATGGCCCTGTGCGGGGACTTGCAAGCAAAACTTGCAATTGGTATATCATTGTCCGGCAAAAACACAAAATTCTGCTCAACTTTGATTTCTTTGCTGTTGAGGGTGAACCAACAGGTAGGTTTCTTGAATTTCTGTTTTAGTACATTAGTGTTTAAATGACTTAATTTTTAGTGTCACACACTCATACATATAATGCTGATGATATATATGAAATGAAAATGTGGTTATGGAGTAAAGTAACAAGTACTGCATTGAAGTATACTCGTATTACACATTACAACAGTATATAAGCATAATTTGCCAGATAATTGTTCATACAGCTCATATAATAATTTTAATCCTTATTATTCTTGGAGCTATAGCCTGTTTCAAGCCTTGAGTTCCTCATATCCTCTAGTGATATTTGAGTTACTGAATACATTTGGATTAAATTATATTTCAGATAAAATCTATTACTCAGAAAGGGGGGGGGGATTTTGTATTTTGTGCGTTCTTTGAATACAGTGAACCAGTTTTTAGGAAACAGTGATCAGTGTAAGACAGACATGATTAGGCTTCTGAGTATTGTTGAAAATAATTTGAAATAAACAGCCTTGTGCAACAAGAGAGTACTTTTCTAGCTTGATTCTCTTTCCATATTTGTAAATCAGATATATTTTATGTGTGCTCTCATTTGTTACTCTTAAAAGCTTTGAGTCTCCACTTGATTCATTCTGAGCTCGTTTTAAGTGCCCTCTTGTTACATTATTAATCACTTTTTTCAGAATTCCCTAAAATAAATTGGTTTAAAGCTTCCAAACTTTTGTTTTCCATTTTTATGTCAGACTTTGTGCATCTTCCAAGCAACACTGTACTCCCTCAGTAATATTTTGAAAAGCATTTAAAATTTGCTGTGGCATACTTAAAGATGATGATCAAGATAGCATGTGGAACTGCTTAGTCTTATTCCCATTAGGCATCATTTCCTATCCCCAATTTATCTCTTGCAAGAGGTGATGTCTACATTCTGTTATTCTTGAGGTGCAGTTAACAATTGTCATGGAACATGACTTAGATTATGAAGATTTGGAAGGTTGCTTTACTTTTCAAAATATGATCATGCAAGATCTTCACACATGAGTAGAAGCAGTTCAGTAAATTCTTCCCATCAAGACTGTTAAGAACTTATTCAACGATATGGTTAACATCATTACATCCTGAGCACTGATATATTAATGTAATGTGTAGGATCAATTACAGATGTAATATTTTGTGACATTTTCTTAATTATTGATGAAATGCCCATATGTTGTTTCTCAATAGCAATGGTGTTACAGCTTTCACATGTGAACCACATTGGCATTTATTACAACAAACCTCTGAACTTCCTTATTTAATCTAACTACTTCTATTCTAAGATTCACTTGTATGTAATCTAATAAGGAACAACATTCTCTGGAATTAGATAGACTGTGACAGGATCCCTTTATTAATATTTTTAGTTAACCACCTTTCTCAACAGTCCCTTCTCTAATAAATATTTAAAAAATAAATGGTACAGGTGTAAGAACCACATTTCATGCTTCTCTTTGATGTAAGAATTGTACTTTTATTAAGATTGGTACATAACTTTAAATTCACTATTTAAATTTTATAAACTTTGGCTTGTAACCCCCATACAAAGTTCTTTAATGTTAACATATATCAGATTACTACCAAGAACTTGACATCTGGTGAAAGTGAGAACATGTGTGACACCATATATGCCTCTACAAAAAGAGCTATCTTGAAACTGTTGAATCTTTTTATTTGCCCAGTATAGAGAGCCATCGCTCTTTGTGATAAATACTGTCATAATGGCATGGGTGCTGAAAGGTATAAGATATTCCTTTGTCTTTTGTCTTGGCCATCGTTTTATTGGCTGGTCCTATAGTGAATGATGGAATGATTTTGCAATTGCTGTTACAGCGCGTGGCTGCCCAGCAGCAGTTGTTCGGCTCTGGCACACAATTGAGGGGCCACCTTTAGAACTGTGTGGGGAGAAGCCATTGACCGAAAAATGGCAGTACTTGTCTGAAGGCAATTCAATGCGAATTAGGTAATGTTACTAATATACTACAATTGGTACTTATTTATGTGTAAGATTATTATGATATATTTAATGTGTAATCTAAAATTTTATTTGATGAGATTGGAAAACTGACATTTTCAAATGGGATAATATTCTTTCATTGAGTTTGAACCTCACCTTAGAATGGAATAAAATATAGCAGAATTGAATGGAATGAACTAGAATGGAATAGAGTAGAGTGGAACAAAATGGAACAGAACAGAATTTATTTCCTTTCCATAGGTCTTTCATAGACTAAGCCAAGAATGTAGAATATATCATAATGTGAATACACTACTTAATACAAATATAAATATAACTGCATTGCTGTTATGTTGAGTAAAAAATTATGTCAAATATTTTTTTGTCATACAGGATTAGATCAATGCAAAATTTTCAACTAAAGTAAATTCTTCTTTAGAATAATAATTAGAATTGGACTTGGAATGAATTTTCATTCTGTTAGCCTTTAGAGGAGTAAGCTAAGGGTATAGGACTTTATATCACTTAATACAATTATAAATATGAATGTGTAACTTGTTAATTATTTACAGCCATCCTTCTTCATGTTATTATGTTATAGAGAGCACATACTTCACTTCCAGTGTGCAGACACTAGGCTTTTTAGCACTAGCTACATCAGAAAAACCTTTTTCCTTTTTTACTGCCATGACTAATAATGAATGAAAAGTACACAGCAATATAGTCACAGAATGTTCCAAAACTAGCCAGAATCATTAGAAAGGCTCTAGACAATCCCATTAAATGTAATGTAAGTGATTGCTGGGCATAAGCTGTTGTTCCATTCCATGCTGACTCTGTGAATCATAACTGAGTCAAAAACAGAACATGATGCATCAGTTATAATTTGGAAATTGTTAGAAAATTTCGATATATGTCCGAAACTCGAGTTTAAAGTTGTAAGTTCGAAAACATGGAGCATAAGTCTAAAGAGTGTCAATTTAATGGGACTGTGTCTGGAAGTTTGTAACCTGGGAAGTCATAGGTCAAGGTATAATTCTACTTGAAAATTTCTTTTATTTCTTTCTGCAAGGTTCCATGTTTCGGTGATATATATTAGTTTAAAATATTGTCACACGTGAGAGTGACTAGATACGGGCTTTGGTTTGCTAATTGGTTTTATTGAAGTTCTATAACTCATAACTACAAAGAATTATGACACCACCACTAATCTACACATTTAACAAATTAATATACCATGCACTTTCCCAATCTGTTATAGTCTTCACTGGTCATTGCTCAGTAACAGTCTTTACTGGACATTGCTATGTTACGGTTCCGAAAAATAAAGATTCTTCTACTCTCGTGCTTATGTCATTGCCGACTGGCTACCATCTCACAGATAACTCATCGCTGCAACTGACTTGATTCAGTCAGTGGGTTAGATTGCTGATGGCCTTCACCAGCACTGTCATTCCTGGCTTGATTTTCTTCGAGATCCAAACGTGTTCTTCTCAAATGTGAAAAAAATCAATTTTATGTACAATACTTTTATGTAGAAAAATACAGAGAATCCAAATTCGTGAACTTTTGTAATATATTAGTCTTTATTGGGAGGCATAAATTCTGTACAAACACACAGTGATAGAGATTCGTTTTTACTACAAGATTTCAATTTTTCAATTCACGCTTAATCACAGACATGTATGTTTCACAGCTGAAGGGTTACAACTTCCAGAATGATGAAGAGCTTCACATGTTAACATAGAGAAAGCCACAATTGTAGTGGGCCACTCAAGGAGGGTAAGAAGACTGTTAAGGGATACCTTACGAGTAGTTTGATTCTTATAGAAGGAATCTATGAAAATTTTGAGGAATATCGAACTTATGTCTACAGATCTTAAAATTACATAAACATGAGTTTTGATGCTTGTGCTCATTTGAATAATACAGTGTAGAAGAAATAATAAAGTTGTTTTTGTAACATTAATTTTATAATCCTTTGTAGTTTCATTTCTGCTGACAAGTCAGTGGGAGCACAGGGTTTTCGTGCAATTTGGACAGAAGTGAGTGAGGGACCTGATTGTGAACAATTCACTTGTGTCAAAAGTAACTTCTGCATCTCCAAGAAGCTTATGTGTAATAGAATGGAAAACTGTGGTGCTGATGACCAATCTGATGAAATGAACTGTGAGTAATTAAGATTTATTAGTTTTCATTATTATTGTTGTTACCCACAATCACCTTTGCATTGATGTTGTACATTCGTTTTTCTGCTAATTCTCAACATCATTATTCGTAATTTATATTTGTAGAGAATGTGTATTTGTAATGAGCAGTTATAATATTGTTGTTTCCATTCTTCAGAAGTGTATGTAACGAATGCAGGGATTCCATTTTCAAATTACTGGAAAACTAAATGTTTAAACTGCACACCATTTCATGGATATCTTCGATATATGCACTATTATGTTAGAAATCAGACTTTTTCCTTATGTATTATAGTCTGATTATTATTTGCTTAAGAACTGCACAAGCAAGATTAGAATTCATATCTCAAATTTTAATGCAGACACTTTCTGTGGTTCTAAGGCAAGTCTGTTTTACACTAAAATTGTCCTTGCACTAAAATTTCAGTTACTGCTTGAATTTGCAAGTACCTTGAGTCTGAAACCTTTGCATGCCAAAACATAAATTACTGATATTGATTCAGATTAACTTTCAGTGTCAGAATATAATCTATGTCTTGATAAAGATAAACAAGGAATAGAATTTGCCACCACAGATTTGGTGCTCTAATTATCTAGAATTTTATTCAGGAGGTGCTGAGTTCAAATCTCAGCCAGGACACCAGCTACCCTGACTGAGCTTTTTCATAGTTTCTCTCAGTCTGACTAGGCAAATGTGTGGATAGTATCTCATTTAGGCCATGGCTGCTTCTTTCAAAATCCTTTCCAGTTCACTATTTATCTATCGTTTTACTGCCTGGTGCTGCATAGTTTTGACACTGAAAGCATCATTAAGTAATTAAATAATAAAAGCATCTGATATCCTACAAATCAATCCACATATAGTACAAGTAACCAAAAATACACTGTTTGAGGAACTTGTGGGATTGTCAATACTCCAATAGACAAACGACTTCGGAAAGTTTGTAGGCCCTGAAAGGGCCGTTCGGCTGGGATGTTTGGCCGGTGAAGTAGGGCTGCATACACCAGTAGAAATGATGTTGGCTGCGGTGTGTTGACTAATGTTGCGGCAGCTGAGTTAGTTGTCTGGCTGCAGTGCGGCAGTTGTTGGAAGTTGCCTGGTCGCAGTGAAGAGCTGATGACTCTGAAGACCGATCGCTCTGTACAAAGTGTGATAGCTGGCTGGCTGGCTGGTGTGGTCACTGATACTGACTCTGACTGTCTGTGGCGAGCAATGTGCTCCGTCTTTTATACAATGCGTGATGGAGGAGCGAAATTTGCAGAGCACTGATTGGCTAGCGCGTGTAATGATCTGGTTGAGGCTAGACAGCAAGTGCTGTACAAATGCGAGCGTTGGAAGCAATGTGATTGGTTAGCGTGCGTGATGATGAAAAGTGAGCTGGATAGTGAGCGCTGTAGAAATAGCGTGATAGTATGTGGGCTGTTCCCACACACTTATTAATAATCATATTATATTATTAGCTAAGGTATAAATAACATAACTAAAGCAAGGAATTCACTAAATTGTGTTCAGTGATAAGTTATTTGCATAATATTAAATTTAAAACATATTTAAATACAAGTTCAGTTTTCCATTAAGCGATATGTTGTAGTTATTAGTTTAGTGGCTATAGATATGGTCTGTATTGATCTTTCTGACTTCTGCTCACCCAGACAAAAATCCATATCTTGGGTATGGTCGTCCGAGGGGCAGATTCTGTTCTCATAATGACAAGGTTATCATGTGAGTGATTTTAGTCAGGAGAGACCTATAGTAATATGGGTTCCATATTGAGGAAGGAGGGTCTTCATATTCTGAAAATTTTACAATGATATAATTTAGTTGGTCACATTTTTTTTTTGTCTGATTAGGCAGAGCAGCTTAATCTGATTTCATAGGGTAAACTGTAAGTCATTCTTTCCAACAGTTGTTTTAATGACCACTATTCTCATTTTTTGGCTCATAAAACAAAGAAGTTTGCATTATATTCAGAAACTATTTTAACTTCTCATTATTAAGTATCCAGCATTGTATTTGTTTCTTGTGCTAACAGACCACAAGGAATATGTTCCATGACGAGCCATAGAATAGTTCTCTCAGCAGCATAACATTCTTGTTGATATTTTCTTTCTATAGAATTCCATCATTTCATGTCACATTCAGTATCAAGACATCCTTTCAATGACTTAGTTTTAGAAAGTTCTTCAACAGGAACACCTTGATTTTATTCCAATATTATTTATACTCCTAATGTGTAAGAGTAGCTCCACCAGGCCATTCAGAGTTGGACTTTAAGTGAAAGTATCTCACACAAGAAATTTAACATTAACTTTCGGCTTCAACTGTTGATTTTCTTTGTGTTGTGCTTACATGTCACTTAACGGCTGCATTGGATGAGAAGAAACTTTTTATTATAATACAAAACAAAAGCAAATGAATATAGATCACTGTTACCAACTTGAACATTTTTACATTACTAGATTCTCAACATTCCTCATTAATTTCAAAATGTTACAAACACATTTCTCATTTTCCTCCTTAATTTCAAAATGTTGTCAACATTATTAGCTGTTTTACAAAGTTAAATTGAATAACACTTAGTAATTTTGGTCTTCAGATTACAAAATTAGTACATGTAATTAAAATTTTCTCAGTCTTATGAAAATCAGACATATTTCTTCTTAAGTTTAATGTCTCTAAACTTGGTAAATTTCTCTGGTGATAGCGGTTTTGTTAAAATGTCTGCCACCTGAGTTTCAGTGTTACAATATTTGATTGAGAACAGTTTCTCTTTCAATTGTTCACTTATGTAGTGATACCTAATGTCTATGTGCTTACTCCTACGCATTACTTGTCCAGATTCTTTTAGCTTGATTGCACTCTGATTGTCGACTCGCAGTTCAGCTTCCACCCTTTTTCCTGTCAACTCCTCTATCAACATCTTTAGATATTTCAGTTCTTTACAGCACTCAGCTGCTGCAATATATTCGGCCTCAGTGGTTGATAATTCAACGATACTCTGTTTCCTAGAGCACCATGATATTGGGCCCTCTGACATCATAATTACATATCCCGTTACACTCTTCCTATCCTTTACATCCCCTGCATAATCAGCATCCCTAAATGCTTCCAGTTTCACAGTTTCAGAGTCAGATGAGGTATAATTTATTCCTGAATCTTGTGTAACTTTCACATACTTAAGGGTCCCTTTCACATTCTGAACAGCTATTTTGTCAGGATTTTCCAAGGTTCGAATTTCCACATTTACAGCAAATGCCATATCGGGTCTGGTTTTAGAAGTCATATATAGCAGGCTTCCTACAGCTTCTCTGTAAGGAAATCTTATGTCATTTTCTCCTTCATCATTTGTTGGTGGGGTTGTGGCCATGGGTGTTTTCATTTCTTGACTTTCTTGCATGTTGTATTTTTCCAACATTTGGCTTGCAAAATTAGTTTGAGAGATATGCATCCCATCTGGTTGCCTCTCAATTTGTATTCCTAAATAAACTTTTGGATTTGTGGTTTTTGTTATCTGGAATTGATTTTTCAGTTTCAGCAAAATTTCCTCTATTTGTCTTTCATCCTCTCCCATGATTATCCTGTCATCCACATGAATGGCCATGAACAAACTATTGTCATCATTCTTAAAAATGCATTGGTCGCATTTTAGTTGGTTTAGACCTTCTTCTTTTAGAAAGGTTGTCGACTTCTTGTTCCATTGTGATGGTGCTTGTCTTAGGCCATATAATGCCTCTTTCAGGAGACATCTCTTGCCAGTGTTCCTGTATCCTTCTGGTATCTCCATGTAGTTTTCCTCCTCAAGGTCTCCATACAGGAAGGCAGTCTTCACATCAAAGGTTTGCATGTTCATATTCTTACGTGCTGCTATGGCAAACAGTACTCTAAGAGAATTCATGTCAACAACTGGGCTAAAGGTATCCTTGAAATCTATTTCCCTTTCCTTTTGTTGGCATCCTCTAACAATCAGTCTGGCTCTTTAATTCTAATTCTAATTTATTTATATTCCATAAGATCTTTACAATGTTGTGAGAACAACCATCGGATATAGGAATAGTCAGATAAAAATCATTGCTTTACAAACAAGCGGATTGTCAAAATACAACAGTAGAAAATACAAGTATAATACATGTAAAACACATTTGTCAATAAAAACAATAAGACGAAAATAAAAACATATACTGGTCATAGTAAGAACCTCACAAGAAACTCCAATCATACCTTAATATGAAATCATATGAATTAAGCTAATTTATCAAAATGTAAGAACACAAATAAGAAACAAATCTAAGTTGTATACACACCATATTTGTACAGTTAAAATTTAAAGAACGAAATTTTTATAGCATACTTAGAGATGAACATGAAAATATACATGTCATACTTAATACGTAAGTGTCACAAAATTAACCTAACAAATAAATTCAAATGGGGTCTTATTACGTGCTTATATCTGCATAAATGAGTAATAAATTTTAACAGATATTTAAAATTATGGTAAACAACAGAAGTATTTATATAGGTGGATTTATCAATTGGATTCAGTATCAAGATTATTATATTTTATATTTAAAAAATTAATCAATGCTATAAAATGAGTGAAGATATAGAAATTGAAGTAATGTCTTCTTAAAAAGATTGATATTGCCATACAGCTGTTTAATGTTAATTGGGAGATTATTAAATATCTTAATTCCGATAAATTGAGTACCTTTCTGATAAATCGATAATTTAGCAGATGGAAGATAAAGATTAGAAATGTTTCTAGTCGTAATCATCGAATATGCATCCGAATTTTTAGTAAACATTTCCCAGTTGTTTACTACAAACATTAAAACAGAAAAATATATAGAGAGGGCAGAAGTAGTATTTTAAGCGAAGAAAATATCTTCCTACAAGGATCTTTGTAACCTACACCAACCATAATTCTAATAACTCTTTTTTGAAGTCTTTTTTTGTGTCTTCCATCATCCTTTATTTTG